GGACGAAATTATGAATATTCGTTTGGTCTTTGAAAAATAATAGGAAAACACAACACAATATATTTACAGCCTAGCAGCATTAACCTTATGAACCAACGTCTATAGACAGTTATAGCAGCCGGGGGAAGCAATACAAAGTATTAGAGTATTTTAACTAAAAGTTTTTTTGTCTGTTTGTACACTTTTAGATATTACAGTTATTAGCCGACCATACCAACAGGTATAATAGTAGGCTATTAAGATCGGCAAAAAAAAGTTTTTTTAATTTCACTCAAAATGAGTTATTTGGGTCATAAATACTGACCTAAATACAAAATATTTTCATGGTATCTGTCTGTCTGTCCGTCTGTAACACGATAACTCAAAAACCGCTAAACCGATTTTAACCAAATTTGGCACAAAAATACTGTGGCACCTGAGAATCTGGCCATTAGTTTTTGGTGGGGGTGGTGGGTTGGTAAGGGGGTATGGGAGGGAGTTAAAAAATCGTAACTCCAAAATTACAGTAGCTAGCGAAACGCGGTTTTCAATTTAAGATTAGGAATAATATTTGCCACAAAATTTGTAATAGCATGAAAATCAGTCAAAGTCGCAATTTTTGAGATATTCCGTGTTTCCGTAGTCCGTTTTTGAGAAAATCCGTGTGGAGAACACCAAACTCCCATCGGACGCGACCAAAGACATTATAAAGATAGACCGAACATCTCAACCATAAATACTCGTTGGAAGTGTATCAAACAATCCATTGTGTCAAACAAGGACAGAAGAGATAGAGAAGTCTAAAATTTCCGACCCCGGCAACTAGGCGCATTTGGATTGTTCTAATGGTCAGTGGCGTATCGTTTTTTGGAAGGAATTTAATTAGTAAAGTGAAAGTAAAGTAATTAGTAAAATTTTCATTCCATATTAATATACTACATTAACACTTTTTCGTCAGATGAGTTTTGTTATAAGGTCTAATATAATAATATAATTCATTTCCCATATATACTTATGTTGAAACGTTAGTAGGTAGTTTTCTAAAATCGCTCCAACGTCGATTTTCAATTTCAACTTTTAGTTACTTCTATATAAACTTTCAATTACTTTTGAATATTTACAGGGTGAAGTTTCTGAAACAGTTCTATATTAGGTTTGTGGTTGGTGACTTTTCTTTCAATTTTTTTTTCAGAATATGGAGGCAATGGTAAAGCACATTTTAGACATTTTTGTAAACATAGGTGGCCGGAACATATTTTCAAACTAAAGTTGTAGATTTGCCATTAGATTTCCATTCCAGAAATACCTAGGGTTGCCACCTGTCCATTTTTGAAAAGGACAGTCTTTTTTTGGAATAACTTGTCCTATTGACTTTTTTTGACTTAAATAGTCATTTTTATTTACGTATTTTCCCTGAGAAAATTACCTACAGCAAACAGAAATATTCTTTTCGTCCAAATTTAATTAGAGATGTTATAAAACTTATAAATAAATTTTTCTTGTTTAGAATAGGCAACATTATTTAGAACTTCCCGTTTAATCTCAAATGACAGTTTAGGTTTTAGTTTTACCTTTTTTGATCTAAAAAGAACTTCAAAATTAGTAATTAGTAACGATTTAGTTAGTTCGCAATCGACAGCTTCCTGTGAAGTACTGTGTAATAGTTGTTTAATCTTGTATTACTAATAACTTTTCCTATACCTAAAATCGATATTTAATGAGAAAATTGTTTTTTTGAAAATATAAGGCAAGATTTGACTTTCGGTCTTCTTCTTGTATTATGGTGGCTCTGATACGAGGCAATTACCTTTTAGTCTCTCAATAGAAGGCATTTATCATTAAAGGTATCAAATCTGTGTGCTACAGTATGGGATTTCTGTCGCATAATAATGAATATTACGTTTATTTACAAACCTATTACTTTTAAAGGTAGCTTCATCAGACAATCAAATTTTAGTTAAATGTCTCAATCTTCATGAACTGTATTAAGCATATGTATGCGGTTTGAATCACCTTGTATGTTGACAAAAATATTTTGAAAATGTGCGCTATAATGACCCCCATCTTATGTAAAAAATTGAAATAAAAATCACAAACCAAAAACGTAATAGATAAAAAGTTTTTTTGGAGGCCTGGGTCATTTTGTATATAGGTATGTACATATATATATATACATATATACATATACATATATATACAGCCGTTATATTATTATTATATAGGTATGTATAAAACTAGTAGCCTAAAAATTATTTACAGTTCGTCCCATTCTAAAAAAAAGATAAACACACCGTACAAATAACTCTAGGAAGAGGTATTTGTACGGTGGTAAAAAATTGCCTAAACAAGGCGGAAGGGGCAGTTATAATAAAGCAGTAAAATGCAAAAAAGGTCGGGTAAACACCTTTGTTTATTTGTTGAGCAAAATTCCTTTAGAATATTGTATATAATGACCAAAATATGACGCAATTTTAAGAAAAAAATGTCACTTTCTGGCTTATAATAAAGTTTCAAATGCAACGTTTATATTCAAATTTGTTATGATCTACAACAGTTAGGTAGTAATTGAGACGAATTATAATTCAATTACCGACTACTACGTTCTTGTTTTAATAGATCCAAATTCAACAAATATAATTAGAAATTATTTTAATTGTAAGGAGCTCTCTTGTGGGACGCCTACGTACAATTACGGCGGAAATATGTACCTACCTGTGAAAAGACAAATTCGGGTAATTTGAGCTTATATTTCCACACACTTGACACTGTCGTATCATATTGAAAATTCTCAGATTCAAAAGTACGTTAAACAAAAACAAAAACTGCTGAAAAACACTGAAAAGTTCACTTCGGACTTGATTCCGACTTCAAACACACCGTAAGCTAAACGTAGTACGCTATAATGGACCATAATGGACCAAGGGCCTTCGCGAGGGGTGGTGGGACGGACGGCTCATTTTCGTTCTGGAAGACTAGCAGCGACGTTGCCAATAGTTCTAGACGTTTCAACACATTAAACAGTAAACATGTCCTTTATAGTAACGCATATATCCTCTGGTTAATAACATATTATTACGCATGCTTCTTTAAAAATAAACTATTAATTTAATTAAGAAATTGAGATTTATTGATATCCGGTGAAGGTTTTAAAGTCACCTTTTCTGCAAATCAAACTAAGTAGATAGGCGCAAATTTGAGATGTGGCAATGTCGCCTTCTCTATCTCAGTTGGTTTTTACAATATGTAGTCAACCTCCGATTGTTTGATCGGGTTAAAATACACAATATGATATCTGTTCTTCCTAAATCTATGGACGCGACCCTAGGTGGCGGATAGGGGAAATACCCGCGTACCAAAATTGGAAAAATTCCTTTACTATGAAACTAAAGAACTGCCTACCAACTTTTTATTAGCATATTTTAGTATGGGCGGCTATACGTGCCTCCCGGCGCCATTTTTTTTTTAATATCCTTAGTTCTGTTAGTGTTACTAATATTTATTAAAACGAAACCTGTATCGTTACTTTTTAACGTTTTTTAAATTTTAATATACCTAGAGTTCTAATCAGTGTCAATATGACACAGAGGCCACCTCGTGATATTATGAGAGTTGAAAAAATTGCAAATTGTTGGTGGCAAGTTCATCTTGCTATCAAAATTTACCAATGTGTTGATATGAGCCAAAAAACAAAATGCTCAGGAGACATGGTTCTGGAAAAATAATGTTTTAGGAAAAGTTACTCACAAAATCACAGGGTGTTTTAAAGTTAAAGTAAAAAAACCTTCAATTAACCATGTATATAGAGCCAAAAAAACTGGCTTGTTTTAAAATGGTTAATCCCATTTATACTTTTCTAAATTTCCATACCGTTTTAGAGAAAATTAAAAAAAATACGGTTGAAGTCTTAAAAATAAAAAGGCGTTTATATGATAATATAATTTCGATTTGATTCTCTGATGGTTATTATTAATTTTGATTAATGTCACATTTTTTGCTGTTGTTAAAGTATCACATTTTCCGATAACTATTACCGGCCTTTCCATAGCATTGAACTAAATAAATTTTGTGCTTATTTAACATTTTAACCAGAAAAAATAAGGTGTTAATTAAAATTCTATTACCTAACATATTTACTTAATAACAATCCATACAACAATCTATCAAAAAATGAAAACGAAATTATATTACCATAGAAACGCGTTTTGATTTTCGGGACTTCAAAACACAAGATAAAATTCAACCATATTTTCATGTTTTTTTTTAATTTTCTCTAAAAAGGTATGAAAAGTTCGAAAAGTATAAATAGAATAATTAATTATAAATAATTTTAGAACAAGCAAATTTTTTTATAAAGAATGTATCAAATGTCAATAATAAAAAAGTTTTTCCACTTGTAAAGACAATCCAGGGACATACTGTAGTACATATAGGGAAATTAAAATAACTTTGGTTGCACATCATCAGCAAACTCCATAAGACGACGCATGGTGTCATTGATGATGTGCACCCAAAGTTGTTTTAATTTCCCTATATAAATAAATAATAACAGAAGGTATATTTTTAATAATTTAGGAAGGTGAATAGTTTAATACAATTAGAAATTAAAATTTGTGTTAAGCAACTAGAATAATAATTTCTAAATGGTAAATAGTAATTCCAAATAGACAAAGGGAGAGTTAACATTTGTTATAAACAGTTACATTGAAAATAACTTTAAATTGTTTGTTTTGTGGTTGATAATATATTTATCATTGATAATACCATACACATTTCTAATTGTTTCAGTTGCATATAATTAAATGAAATAAAATATACACCCATAAATGTAATATGAACTGTTCAAGTATCACAAAAAGTTTTGCAAATAAAAGATATACTTATACACTAACCATAGTTAACTATGATCAATGTTTTTTACCTAAAGATGTTTGCTTTTTTTTGAAAAACATTTTTAAAGAAAACAATATCTTGATTTTAGGGCAATGACAACTTTTATAAAACTGAATTGATTTAAGACTTACATGATATCTGTTACTAGCTGAATCTTTGTCCAAACAATATTTCTTAAGGTTGTGCTTTTGCTTTATTATGTTAGGAAGTTCCACATCGATCACCCTTTGCAAAGGTGAATATACCAACTCCTCCACCTTGACTTCATGATCGGCAAATTCTTTTGCAAGTTCTTGTTCCACACGTCCTGTAATTTAAATATTTTTAATTGTCGCTTGGTTTGTGATGATTATAGTGATTCAAATCATTACCAGAATCTTTCAAGACATGTTGAAATAACACACATTCTTTCTCTTCTTTAGCTTCCTCAATAAATATGCTACCAATTTGATACTCCAGACATTTTTTCTAAAAACATATAATAATAAATCCCTATTCTTATCTAAAATTGTTAAAGAATAATCTGTTTTTACCAAACGTTTATCTCTTTCATTTGTAGGTCCATTAGGACAAATTTTTTTGGTAATAGCAGTTAATGCTGATCTGAATACTTCAACTTTTTGATCTGCAATTTGTAATTCTTCATGATTAAGGACCTCACTTTTTTCAGCCCTAAAATGGCAATATCATTATTACCTTCAATATTTATAAATGAAACATAAATTGCTTAAAATGTTATATAAATATAGGTGTCATTAATGGATATAGATAACACTAATATAGGAGGTATATCAAATAATCATTTTGTTGAAGTAAACAAGTGGCTAAAAATATAAAATCTAAATTTTCTTATCATTATAAATTTGTAAATCTCACAAAAAAGCGTTTATTATTTATTAATATTTAGAGAATGTATTCATAAAAAACTTACTTCAAAAAAGTTTGATCTGCAAGTTGCTTTACCCTGAAAAATTGTTTCTTCATTTCGAAAGCATTATATTTTATAAACCATCTGACAAAAATAATATTCACTCAGTGTTTTGTTTGAAATAAATCATCACTCAGAAAATGATAATACACATTAGATATTTTTGGATGTATTCAAAACTCTTGAAATGACTATCCAGCACGTTAAAATTAAAAGAAAATCAATAGCACTTATGTAAACTAATGATTCTACATAAAATTAAATATTACAAATACTATTCACAGCACAAAAAAATATACAATAAAGAATCACTTTCTATTTATTGCAATAAATTGCAGACACTGGTCGTTAGTTGATGGATATTGGTGACGAATTGTTTTAATTAAATACAACAAATTTCCCATTCGCGACACTTTTTATCTTTACCGTCCTTTGAATCATTTAAATTTAACTAAACCGATAAGAATGTATATATTTAAACAATTTTTACTAGAAATAAAATCGGAAAAAATATCTGGGTGAGGAATCTGCCAGAATTTCGATGTGACATTTGACAGTTCTGAAGTATGAATCAGCGACATATTTACCTAATTTTTTTTAATTACTTTGAATTCTTTGAATTTAATCAATGATTAAAATTAATATTTATTGATTTATTGCATTTACTATCGTAATTAATAGATGAGGTGTAGAATTTTTGTCATTTAATTATCATTCTGTAGAAAATAGTTATCAAATAAATTATTGAACAAAACCCAAAGACAAAATCTTATACATATGCAACTAAATATACAATTTCCGCAGTGTTGTCATACTGTATCTTATTTTGGCAAACTTACAGTTTAAAAACAAAATGAACAATTCTTATTATTAATTCAATCAATTATCAATCATTTTGATAATTAGGTCTATGTGTAATAATGTAAAATAATTATTCGTTTCATCAAAAGGGTAGATTAAAGATTTAATTAACTTAATCTGCCGTTTAGATACCTGTTTAGCAGGTTACAATTTATAATACATTAGCATAGGTCAATGGTCTTTTGTTATACTTTAAAAGTTTTTAAAGTTTATAGCATTTAACCATAATGTTTATGAACAATTTATATTATAAATTTGCTCTTTGTTGGTCTATTGTAATACCGTAATACCTAATAATAGTAATATGTAGTACAATGTAGAATTTAAGATTTTTTCTATGAATCCCTTTTTCACTTTTTCTATAAATAGCTCAATAGCTGTAAGTTATGAATTGTCGATTTTCCGCTTTTATAATATTTTATCCTTTTTATTATAATTATTTTAAATTTAACATTTAATTCTGGTCAAGAATACGAATATATAATATTATTAATTTTAGCAATGCAGATCTGGCAATGAAGCATAATATTGTACTACTGTCAAATGTCAAATTGTACAAAATATTTCTTCTGTGGATTCTATTCTTGCCTTTTAAAAAAATTCTTAACCTATAAAAAGTAATAAATAAACAAAGAAATAAAGTTTTAAAACAATTAAATATGGGCCAGAAAAGATATTTAGTAAGCTAGTAATTTAATAAATTTCTTGTTTATAACAAATTTATACACACCGTCAATGGCATTGTTTAAAATGATGTCAGATATTCAAATGTAAGTAAATCAAAAACTGTGTTAAATTTTATTTTCTTTGCTAAACAGTACCATTATTGTGTGGTAATGAATTAGAATATATACAATTAAATTATAGTACTATCCATGTAAGTGCTCGCTCTTATAAATTGATACTACGGTTTATTATCTTACTAATAAAATAAAAAATTTGACTCCCACTTATCAACAAAATTGCGGCAGTACTTGCAGCACCGCGGAACGACGTAACGTTGTATATCAACACAACGTTATTCAGTCAGTCTCAATCAGGCAAAAGTAAAAGTGACCGCGCGGCAGGTTTTGTTTTTGTAGAAGTTTTGGATGGTACCAGCAGCACTGGAGTGTCTTTGGTTGAGAAGAAATAACACAACATTTTCAAATTAAAATGGCTTGTGATAAAGGCTTCATCAATGTCCTTATGTTGGGGTTGGCGTTTATGCTGGTTTTCACTGCTTTTCAGACATGGGGTAATATTCAGGTAAGTTTTTTTTTAATAATTTTTGATAATTTTTTAAAATTGGTTAGCTATTTTTAAATATAGCTATTGCCCCATTACTTTCACTTTTAGACTGTTGTGCTATAATTTATATTATTTCTTTCTTAGATGTATAGATAGGTTTATAGACTAGGTACCCAGAAAAATATTATATTTCATGTTCACTTATATAAATATTTTTTTTCAATTATTATTGTAAATTTATTGCTATTAGTTACTATAATTGCTTTTATACTTTTCTATTTATTTCTGATTTCTAATAGCCTTGTAGGCTAATCGGTATTTGAAGATGAAATAATGAATTATTATTACTAATAGCGCCGGGGATTCACACAACTTTATTTGGGTATCAATTATGCTTTTAAACTATTTATTTGATTAAAATGTTTTTACTTTTCACAATACAATATAAGTATGAACTCTTCAACTTATAATTTATCTGTTGTTTTCTAAAATTATTTCTCAGAATTCAGTTTGAAGGATAATTTTTGCCTGTTTTGTAATTCAGTTGTTGATCGAAGAAATACGGCGACAAGCCTGCTAGTCCAGGACGCAGTGAAAATTTTAATTTAATCAACTTGGTACTTTAATTTCCCAGCCAGCAAAGCGATAGAACTGTTTGGTATATATGTAAGGAGGGGGGGGGGAGGGGGGTCCGATGGGTTGGGGCGGAAAATGCGTTAGAAAGTACAAATATACTGCACTTCTTTTTCCAGCGATAAAAATAGTTCTATTAGTGAGAGATGTTGCGCAGTTTACAAAATAAATAGTCTGGCTAATCTGTGAGAATGGGTCATATGTCTGGCAGGTGAAAAATTGGATAAAAATTATTGAAACAATCGCCCTTATTTTTGTAGTCCTAAAAATTTGTCAGATGATAGTTTATATTATAATTACAGCTGCAAATATAGTCTGGCTCATGTGGAACATCCTAAAAGCCTTGCCAGTCTCGTCCAACGCTCGTCATCAGGCGGGCTAAATTTGGCATGTTCAATTATAGAGGTGATTGTTGTCATCTCTACATGTTTTTACTTTTCATAATTTATGGGAAGAAAAGTATTGGTTTAGGGCGAAATTTGACTATGGCCAAAAACTCTTTTCTCAACTATAATTGCTCTATATATGCCGCTCGAATGGCTTCAGTCATATCTTGGCAACAGAAGGCAGCTTGTGAGGATTGTGTACAGTCTTTGTCTTCTTGTAAGCCTATAGAATGTGGTGTCCCTCAGGGATCAGAGTACTTGGCCCTATTTTGTTTCTGGTGTTTATCAACGACATTGCAAATCTAGACATAAGCGGTAAAATCTGCCTCTTTGCGGACGATACTAGCTGTGATACTAGTTTCACTTGGAGCGACCCAGATGTTACGGTACTATATAATACAATATCCAGTGACTTACGCACCATTAAATCTTGGTGCGATTCTAATCTCCTATGCTTCAACCTATCAGAAACTAAAGTTTTGTCATATAAAAGTACTATACAACCTTTTGTACTTAATAACACCACTACTGACGTCGTGGACTCTGTGAAATTCTTAGGACTTGTTGTAGACAACTCCTTAAAATGGGACTTGCACATCGAAGCTTTATCAAAGAAACTAAGCGCTGCCTGTTTTGCGCTAAGATCAATTTCTAAGGAACTTAACTTATCAACCTCTAGAATAGCCTATTATGCTAGTCACATCTTCGTTATGCCCTTCCATTCTGGAGTACATGCTGCGCAACAAAATTTGATCGTATTTTCAAACTTATATATTTCAACCTGTATATTTAACTTTTGGCATGCTTATATCATTAGATTTGTATCCGTTTGCTTAATCCGCAAGCACATATCTGCTATTCCAGAAAGGCCATCTTACAACTATCCACTTAGGAATGCGGAGCAAGATCTTTATCTGCCAACTCCGAGCTCAGAACTAGTTAAAGGCTCAATACTGTACAATGCCAAAAAAATGTACAATAGTCTGCCTTTGAATATCAAGTCGCTTTCATTCTTTCCCGCATTTCGCAAAGCTCTGAAATCATACTTACTGTAAACTTACTGGACAGAGCCCTATATGCGGTAAACGACTTTTTTGTTGATGTTTAATCATGAACAATTTTGAATTTTAAAATTTTGATCATCTCACACACTGGTCAAAGGTCGAGTATTTAATATTTTATAACTCTTAAAATTATATCCATTTACAATTTTCCTATTGTAAAATTTTATTGATACACCTTTTTTGTGTTCTATTTGTAATTTTAATGACTTAATTTTTTTTGAATTGTATGATTTATATTGTATATTTTTTATTATTTGTATATTTTTTGTGCTTTTGTTTGTTTTGTAAATGCATTTCATTATACAATATGATCAAAAAGTTTTATGATGAAACCTGCCTTGTATGATGATTTTTATGAAAAATTACTATATTTTTTAACTGTCAAACTCAAAGAACATTTGATCGTCTTTTGGTCAGACGTTATTATTTGTTTTCATGTATACATATATACTATGTAGTCTATACTAATAAACTAGAAATATAATAGAAAAGAGCCTTTCTAGCCTCGTTTCTAGTCTATTATTTAAAACCAACTCTAATTTCATAAGATGTAGCTGGTTAAATCCAAAATTATACCAGACTAGGTACCTAATTATTCATTTTTATTTGACTACGTTTGAGTGCTAAATAATTCAGACATCTAAGTTATTATGCAAATACTGTATTCCATTGGAAGAGAGATGATACTGAACTATCTGATATATTTTCGTAGATTAGGTAAGATGAGAAAAATAATTGTATAAAAAAATTAAACAGTTCGAAATATCCGAGTCCAAAATCCAAAGATAAAAATGATAAAATCCAAAATTAAAAAACGTCATATTTAAAGGAAAAAAGAATCACTTGGTATAATTTGTCATTATGGTATTTTTTGAGTGGGAATTTTATGGCAAACCCTTTGTGCAGGATACATACTGCATTCAATTTAATAAAAACTACATACAACTTTAATGTAAAATTATATTTGAATCACCCTGTACAGCTATTAAAAATAAAATACAATACCGAAAAAAAAACGGTGTCAAAGTTGGTATGGAAATGAAGTTATTCCCATATTCCCATGCATACCTAGTAGGTATTTATTTTTCTATTTCATAGAATATACTTGATCAACTAAAGGTAATTTAAAATTATGTTACTTTTCATGCTCTTATTATACTTTATCTATATTGTACTCGTTTTTATAAGGGTAATTCATAAGGATTGTACTTTAAATATCACGATTGGTATTTAGTCGCAATAAAAGTGGAGATTTTAGATTTTATCTAAACTTTAAGATGTCTCTTTAAGATCTTATTATTATTATAAACATATATTTGATACCAATTAAACTTTTAGTTACGTAATCAAGGGCGGGATTTTTATATTCATTGTTGTCAAACATGGGCATATTCGGCGCCGCGCCGGGCTTACTAACTAAAATTTAAATTTCCCGCTGGGGATTCAGGTGATAGCTCTGCTGTAAAAAATGTCAAGTTGTCACATTTATTTATTTATTTCCTGACATTGTCATTCGTTTTGACACTTTATTTTTGTAATGTTTACTAGCAGACCCTGCAGTCGAACATTGGTCGCGTTCATCAGGACAAGTTGATCAGTGAGCGATGTACCATCGATTGGTTGTCCTGCTGAACGTGCTTTTTAGATCAAAATCATAAGTAATGCATATTAAATTGTTTTTACCCATTTTTGGCACAAATCGAGGGGATTAGTCAACCGCGAACAATAAACAAAATGCTTTGTTTTCGTTTTCCAAAACATTTTGTGGCATTTGGCGTATGTGACGTTTAATCCATCATGCATCGGTAGCGTAGCGTATTTTAAATCTGATGGAAAAAATGGCGACTGATCCCAGAGCGCTCACAACTAATCGGCGCGTTCAGCAGAAAATTACTGATCGCTGCGGTAGCGCTACGTCCTGATGAACGCGACCATTGTTCTTTTTAGAACCTCTTTTAGTGCGAAGTGTACAAGATAGCTTAATGGCTGTTAAAAAATCATCGCATGGCCCCTTATGTTCCTTAAATGCTGGTAAGAAGGTGAGTTTTATTGATGTAAATAATAACTGTTTATATATTTATAATTAATTTATTTTTGTTTCCTAAAATATTTTGATTAAAAGAAAATATGTACAAGTGGGCAACGATGTGCCGGTCAAGCTTAGTCACGTGACTAAAATTTTATTTTGATATGAACTATAGTTATAGTATTTGTTTAGCTTTGTTTTACCGTTTTAGGAATAACATTTTTTTTAGTCTTTTTAATTTTGTATGGTTTATAGATCAACTTAGTGTATTATTGTTGATGTTTTGCAAAAATTATTCACCAAAAGTATTTTTCGTTCACGGAATTCATTAAATTTATTAAAATACTGTACCATAAATAATTAAAATAACCGCAAAAACCATAATTGAAATTAGATTTTTCTTCCTAAAAACTGAAAACTACGCTTGATTTTTTTAGAGAAAAATCAGTAGCCATAGACATTTTTTAATTTTCAATTTTCTCATGGAATTTTTTGATGTTTGATTGACAGCTAGTCGATTTCATCATCATCATCATTTTCAGCTTATTCAACCATTTCCAATTATGGTGTAGCCTCCCTCACATATTTAGATAGTCTCTTTGTAGTTGGGCCCATTGTTGTCTATTGTTGGCTATGGGGGCTCATGTTATCCCTGCTAATTTCCGGTAGGTCTCTTAATTCCTCGTGGGTACCAGGCTGTAATTTTTGTGGTCCATCTGCTGTCTGTTCTTCTTGCCACGTGTCCTGTCCATTGCCATTTGAGGGATCTCATTTTGTAGATGACATCTATTACCTGGGTCTTTTGTCGTATCCACTCTCTATATTCTTTTACAATCTCTCTTGATTTCGTTCCGTTGAGTGTTGTGCAACCTGCAGTTTCCTTATGATGCCCGTTTTAAGTGTCCATGT